GGAGCCCAGCTGGGTGCTGTTGCCCCTGTATAGTGTCTGTTTAGACAGGTGGTGGGTGTATGTGACAGTCCCCAGGCCCGTTAGACTTAGAATGTCCCCACCGAACGTATTTTGGAAACTTCTACCTTAGCTTTTTCTTTATTTTCATAGATTAAAGAGCAAAAAATCATTGTGGATGAGCTCTCTAACCTGAAGAAGAATCGGGTAAGTTACTGCAGGAATCTGAAATAGTGTACAGTATGTTAAAATTAGGAGTTAGATCATTTATGCTAAAGTTACAAAGTTCTGACATACTGATTTCAAACTAAAGCGTCCTGGTTTGTTTCTGTTTTTCATTTGTTTCTCTGTATATGTCAGTGCATCTCAAAGTTGAGAAAATTATTTCCCTGTTACACTTTAACAAGAATTATTTCCTTGTCCACAGAAAACTGTAATATTCCAACTACTTACCCCCATTTAATGCCTTTTTTATGATGTGTTCATCAGTCAGCCGCTGTTTCATGTGTGCTTTTTCTGCAGAAAATTATATCTTCAATGAAGAGATGATTTTGAGGTCTCTCCATCCTCTAGTGACTGACATTTTTCAACATTTCTGATATTATCATTTGTGGAATATTGGACACTAAGGCAAATTAATACCGAGCTCTAGGAGATCAGACTGGCAGAATGTCTAAACATTGTGTGAGGCTTGACCTGGGGCTTCTTGCGGAGTAATTGATACATATACAATTGTGAAATGCACGGGCATTTAATGGTGGTGGCAGCCGTCTGTGTCTGTAATGGTGAAGAGACAGACAAATGTCTGACGTTTGCGGGCAGCAAACGTCTAGTGTTTGCTCTAGTGTTGTTCCCATGCGGTGATGTGAAGAACCTTTATTGGTGAGCAAAGCTCTCCATGCTGTGCATCTGCAAGAGTAAATTACACTCCTGTGGCTCGTTGACAGGAAAGTGGCAGGCTGGCATCGCTGTGCAGACAGCCATTTCCGGGTGGCAGAGCATCAGTGACTTGGTATCTGTTCATAGCTAATAAGTGACCATTCTGAATATTCCTGAAGCTCAAGAGTAAGTGGCCATAGGGTTCTGTGGAGCATCGCCGTGCAAACCGTGTCCTGATACTGTGGCTTTCTTTTGCAGAAAGTGTACAGGCAGCAACAGAACAGCAACATATTCTTTCTTGAAGATCGAACAAACATGCTTTCCGAGAGCAAAAGTGAGCGGTCTTCATTTTGGTTCTGTTCTCAGTGTTATGTGTGGAATGCCATAGAAAACCTCTTCTAGGCTTTTCGTGGGGATTCGTAATAGTACCTCAGTTCAACCCCATCTGCATGAGCGCATCTGGGCGTGTCCGTGATTGCAGTGATCTGTTTCCAGTTAGCCTTCCAAAGATCTCTACCACTTTAAAAAGACTCCTTAGCTGGGGTGGCACTGGGATTCTGACTGGCTTGACCGTGGGCCGGCAGCTGCAGCTGCTGTGAGTTCCCATGCATAGCAAGCCTGTGATGTCTGAAGACACTGTCACACTGCAGCAGAACTCCCCAGTCTCCTGTCCTCGTGCTCCTTCTGTCCTTTTTCTTCTGCGACCCCCAAGCCGCGGGGGTCAGGAGTGTTAGATACAGGTCCAGTTTTGGACTGAGCCCTCCAGAGTCCCTTAATCTCCGCCTGCGCACTAGTTGTGGTTCTTGTCTCACCTGCCGTCCACTGCCAAAAGAAACTTCTCTGAGGGAAGGTGAGACCTGAACCACGAAGGAGCTGTTGGCAAGTGACGCCTGCCAGGGAGGAGAGTCGGTGTCCTCAGGGATGTGACTCCTGGTAGATTAACCATGTCAGTGGAAGGAGAGAGAGGGTGGGGGAGGGGTGGGCATGATCAAACTATATCACAGACGTACGAAGTAAAAACGTAACTTCAAGATGTATTGGCTGTACTTATGAAGTGAGATAGGCATGTATTTTTTTCATACTTTAAAGTATAAAAAAATCATTTTCCTATTTTTCATTTTTGGGGGGTGGGGGGAATACTTTGAGCCTGGAAGGTCTTGACAGATTTGAAAGTTGTATATGCAAAGTGCTTAGCCAAGTGCTTGGACCAAAATTAAGCACTCAGTGAAAAGAAACCATTCCCAGATTCAGCACTGGTTGTCCCTACAGCATTCTGAGTTACTCCTGGCAATTGTGCAATGCATCTGCTCATAGAATCTTGAGAAGTAGTCTGTTTTGTCCATGAATTAATAGGTAAGCATTTCTGAGCTTTTACTTCAATCTTCTTCTCACTCCCTCCTACAGATACACTGGATGAACTAAGAAAAGAATACCAAGCCTTAGAAAACTCGGAGACGACCAAAGTCAAGACGCAGGCGCCCTGACTTCAGGACCATGTGCGGCATTTGCTGTTCTGTAGGCTTCTCTGTTGAGCACTTCAGGAAAGAGTTAGGAGAGGATTTGCTGTGCCGCCTTAGGCGACGGGGTCCCGACAGCAGCAAGCAGTTGTTAAAATCTAACGTTAACTATCAGTGTTTGTTTTCTGCTCACGTCCTTCACCTGAGAGGTGTTTTGACCGCCCAGCCCGTGGAAGACGAGAGCGGCAATGTGTTCCTATGGAACGGAGAAGTTTTCAGTGGGGTCCAGGTTGAAGCAGAGGACAATGACACTCAGGTTATGTGCAGAAGCCTTTCTGCCTGTAAGACGGAGGCTGATATCTTGGCACTCTTCTCCAAAGTCCGAGGGCCTTGGTCTTTCATATACTATCAAGCCTCTAGCCATTGCTTATGGTTTGGTAGGGACTTTTTTGGCCGCCGTAGCTTGCTTTGGCATTTTAATAATCTGGGCAAGAGTTTCTGCCTCTCTTCAGTTGGAGCCCAGGTATCTGGGCTTACAGACCAGTGGCAAGAAGTTCCAGCATCTGGAATTTTCCAGATTGATCTCAATTCTGCTGCTGTTTCCAGTAGTGTGACTTTAAAATTATATCCGTGGAAATACGTTTCTGAGCAGAATGTTATTGAAGAATGTGCTATCGACCTGACAGAATTGCCAGCGCTTGTATCGGTGGTAGCAAGTGAAGCCGAGCTGTATCTTCCAAAACCGATAGCTCCCTTAAATAAGATGGTGCCTCAAGCTCCACTGGAAGGTCCCTGTAGAAACAGTTCCCGTGTTCCACATGCAAGAGAGACACTTGAGACATTTCTTACAGATGGACATACAAAAAAAGTAGTTCAGCAGTTCATTGACATCCTGAGTGTTGCAGTCAAGAGACGTGTTTTATGTTTAGCTAGGGAGGAAAACCCGGCATCAGAGGAAGTTTTGCAAGCTTGTCATAAGAAAGCAAGCATTGCGATCCTCTTTTCTGGAGGTGTGGATTCCATGGTGATCGCAGCCCTTGCTGACCGTCATGTTCCTTTAGATGAGCCAATTGATCTTCTGAATGTGGCTTTTGTGGGTAAACGAGAGACTGGGCCAAATGTTCCTAACATCGAAAGAAAACAGCGAAGCCGTCCCAAGACCCTGGCTGAAGAATTCTGTCAGGGTGCCGCTGAGGTGCCAGACCGAGTCACAGGAAAAGCAGGGCTGAAGGAACTGCAGTCTGTCAACCCTTCTCGGACTTGGAATTTTGTTGAAATCAATGTTTCTCTTGAAGAGCTACAAAATCTAAGACGAGCTCGGATATGTCACTTGGTTCAGCCCTTGGACACAGTGCTGGATGACAGCATTGGCTGCGCCGTCTGGTTTGCTGCTAGAGGAGCCGGTTGCCTGGTGACCCAGGATGCCGCGAGATCTTACGAGAGCCCTGCAAAGGTGTGCGTAGAGGGATTGCCGAGACCTAATTTTGACTCTTGAGCCTTTTAACATTTAAGGTTGTAAGTGTATACTGCACTTTATTTATTCTTTTTAATACAATGTATATTACTTCTTTAAAACTGATTTTTTTTTTACTTTTTTCTGACCTGTGGGGTTTTTTTAGGCTTTATAAGAAAAATCTCTCTCCTTTTTTTTTCTTTCTTTTTTTTTCTTGTCCTCAGTCACATCTCTGGCTTTCTTCACTCTTCTGTAGGTGATTCTGACTGGCATCGGTGCAGACGAGCAGCTGGCAGGCTACTCCCGACATCGTGTCCGCTTTCAGTCTCTCGGCCTCGAAGGACTGAATGAGGAAATAGCCATGGAACTGGGCCGCATTTCCTCCCGAAACCTCGGTCGTGACGACAGAGTGATTGGTGACCATGGGAAGGAAGCAAGGTGACTGACTCATTACTCAGATGCTTTGTAGTAGAAATGCAAGGGAAGGCTTCCTATTCCTTTTCTGTGGCGATTGCTCCCGTCAGAACAGGAGCATTTGCACACTGTCTCAGTTACACTGTAAACAGTCGATGGGGGAGCTGAAGGCGCCAGGGAGCGGTAGGATGTCTGCACTCATGATAGAAGGTGACTGAGTCATTCTTTCTAGGGCCATGATGAGAAAACTACAGACGCAAAGACAGCATAGTGTATTTCCAAGTGGAGGCAGTTTAAGGATTTTGTTTTGCCCCACAAGCCCACCCTGACTTTGTCCTGCAGTGTTGTAGAATCTGGGTTTGTCTATGTAAGCATGTCTGCTGTGGTGAGCTATGGGGGTCCCAGGCCTGGATTTCTGTCCCTTGTGTGGTGTTTAAACACGATTTAGTCTGTTTTAGATGTCCTAAAATCTTCACAGAAACCAAGGCAGTTTCGTGTGTGCTTTTGAAATCTCGGATTGTTTCTGCCTACCATGTACTTAGGATGTTAGTTAGGACATAGTGAAAATCACGAGTTTTCGACGGTAAGAGCACAGGGAGACGGGGCGGTGTGAGGAGCACAGCTGTGGAGTTCTGTGTCCACGGTGGTTCACTTTAGCTGGCAGAGGCCGGAGACCACGGGTTTGAGACCAGCCTGGGTTACGTCGCAAGACCACGTCTCAAAAGTAAAAATGAATGGAACTGTGTTTAAATAGTTAGTAAGTGGTATTTTGTCAGAAGGATTCAGCAGGCAAGGAGGAGGAAGCCATGTAAGCCTTATGAGAGCTGGGACATCACAGTAGTTACCTCCCCCTGTCTGAGAATGGCCTCTAGCCTTTATTTCATGCTTAGTCCTTTCCACTGAAGCATGATTGCCTTTGCCCCGCTGTCCCTGTGTTGCCAGTTCTTGTCCAAATTATATTGTCATTGCTGTTCTATTTCTCAAGATTATATTTCAAATAGATAATTAGTACTGTTCTACAAAGTAAATAAACTCCCTTTGAAAAACGTGAGAGAGAGGGAGGGTCAGGAGTTGAGGAAGAGGAAGAGAGGAATTTAACCCATTATCATCAGGCAGATGAAGGAATAAGAGAATTTACTTTTTCTGATGAAGCGGTTAATTCCAAAGGCCTAGGAAAGTATCCCAGTGCTGCGCTCAGATGGCAGTGTGTACAGAGAATGGTTTACGGCAGTGAGTGCGGCAGAGCTGTTGTGTGTACGG